TTTTTGGTGTGGAGGGGGTGAGCGGTGTAGTTTGTAGTTTGTTGCTTTCTATAGAACCAACCACGTTAACCTAAGAAAAATTTAAATACTGTAGAGCCTACGTTTATGTAGAACTACGTTGACTTAAAGAGAAAACTAAACACTATAGAGTCTACATTAACGTAGAACTAGGTTAAACTAAGACAGAACTAAATACTATAGAGCCTACATTAACGTTAAGCTACTCACTTTGCATATTTTAATGTTAACGTAGTCTGGCAGACCTGTTTAGTTTTCTGGTTGTTAACTCCAAACTGGCATTTTGGCCTGAAGTGCAAAGTGATGAAGTGCCACATTGTGATATCAGTTGCATACTTGACCTGACAGTCAGAACAGGAAGACATAATCTATTCGAAGCAAGCAGTACAAGTCATACACATGCATTGATCTTCGTAACGTCTAAGCTTCATGCCATCTCACAGTACAGCGACTGGATCATACACGCACCCTCACAGTCCAACCGAACGACCTTAAAGCTTAAGACTTTCAATGAACTTGGTCGCTTCCGCAACACCCTCATCAACCTTATCCGCATTCGTACCCTGGCCAATCGCAGTGGGAGCGCCCGGCTTGCCACCCGCCTTACCACCGATAATAGGAGTAACAGCAGCGGCCCATTTAGGTCCGTCGGCGCCTGCGTTCTTGAACGGCTGTGTCGTATACGTTAGCACGAACCCTTCGACTCTCCCACACGAAAGCATTGGGGAGGGAGTAAGGGGGAGAACATACCTCACTAACATAACACCCGTGCACAACCTTACCCTCCTCAGGCGAAGCAGAGAAAAGATACAAACTCCGATCCTTGAGTGCACTCTTCGGACCAGAGACAGTCTTGATAGCCTCGCTGATGGCCTTATTAACCGTGCTCGACCACTCGAGCTTCTTGACCATGAACTTCTTGCTGTCGTCCTCGAAGAACTTGGTCACTTCATCGAGCACACGCTTGTTATCGGCCTTCGCAGCAGTCTTCTGCTCGTCCAGAATGCTCTTTTGGATCTTGGCGAACTCCTCGCGCAGCTTGGTCTTTGCGATGGCGGAGATGGTCAGGTTGTTGAGGTCGACGCCGATTTTCTTCGCTTCGGCTTCCTTGGCGGGGCCAAAGGACATCTTGCCCATGGCTTGGACGCGTTCTTGGAATTCGCGCGCGATGCGTTGGACGTTGTAGGCTTCTTGGCCGGTTACCGCGACGATACGGCGGATGCCCTTGGCGATGCCAGATTCCTCGAGGATGACGAGTTCTTTGATTTCGCCTGTCTTGAGAACGTGGGTGCCACCGCAGAATTCGATGGACAGCTTTTCCCACTTCTCGTTCTTGACGTCGCTGAGGAGCTCTTCTACTGGGACGCCGACGGAGACGACGCGGACGGGGTCGGGGTAGGTCTCGCCGAAGACGGCGCGGACACCGCGGATCTCCTTTGCGGATGCGAGTGGTACTTCTTTGGCGTAGACTTGTGAATCCTGCTTGATGTACTCGGACGAGATCTTCTCGACCTTGTCTAGCTCTGCATCTGACAGACCAGCCTTGTGCGAGAAGTCGAAACGCAACTTCTCTGGTGCGACTAGAGAACCCTTCTGGTCGACCTCGTTACCAAGGACTTCCCGAAGAGCGTAGTTGAGGACGTGGGTACCGGTGTGGTTGTTGCGGATGGGATGTCTCCGGAGCTCGTCAAACTCTGCAATAACCTCGCTGCCTACGCTCAACTCGCCGTACTTGATGTATCCAGTGTGTAACACGTAGCCGGCATACACCTGCACGTTCTCGATACTGATCTCGGCCTCGCCATCTACAAGTAACCTTCCAGTATCGAACTCTTGACCACCCTGTTCGGCGTAGAAGTTTGTCTTGTCAAGCAAGACACCGAATTGCTCGCCTTCCGGTACCTCTTTCGTGCTCTTGAGGAACTTCTTGTTGTGATATATCGCCTTGATGGTAGCGGTGATGTTTTCGCGGCCAAACTTAGCGGAGTCGTCGGTCTTTGGGACTTCGGGCATGTTCTCAAGCGCACCAAGGTCGTGTACATCAAACTTGACGACTACGGCACCAGCCTTCTTATCTCCCTTGCTAGCTTCGCGAGCCTTCTCTTGTGCCGCCTCAACCTCCTCGTCCTTGATCTTCAGGCCGCGCTCTTCAGCCATGAGCTTCGTCAGATCAACAGGGAAACCGTAGGTGTCGTATAATCGCCAAACATCGTCTCCTGGCAGCTCATCCGAGCCCTTGACCTTGGCTTTTTGCGCGTACTTTTCGAAGATGACCTCACCGCGATCTAACGACTTGGCAAATGCCTTTTCTTCCTCGTCCAGAATCTCCATGATGTCTTGTTGCTTCTTCTTGATCTCGGGGAACATGTCGCCCATCTGTTCAACTAGCGTAGGTACAATCTTGGAGAAGAAGTCGCCGATTTCCGTCTCGAAGTATTTGCGCGCGTATCGTGCACCTCTCCGAAGCACTCGGCGAACGACGTATCCCCGACCGACGTTGTTCGGTACACCACCGTCAGCAATGGCAAAGCTCATCATGCGGACGTGATCCGCGACGACTCGGTATGCAGTGTCGATACCATCTGGGTCCTGGTCCCCAAAGTTGCCCCTGTATTCCCGCGCTCCAGTAATATCCTGTATCCTCTTGAACAGTGGTGTGAAGACGTCGGTGTCGTAGTTGGACTTCTTGTGCTGCAGCACTGAGACCAATCGCTCGTATCCCATACCAGTATCGATGTGCTTGTTCGGTAGCGGTCGTAGTGATCGGTCGGGCTCGCGGTTGTACTGCATGAAGACGTTGTTCCAGATCTCGATGACCTCGGGGTCGTCCATGTTGACGAGCGACGCAGCGTTTCTGTATTCTCCGTTGACTGGCTCTCTTAGGTCGTAGTGTACCTCTGAGCAAGGTCCACATGGTCCCTGGTCACCCATCTCCCAGAAGTTGTCCTTCATGTCACCAGGCAGGATGTGGTCTTCCGGTACGCCTACGCTCTTCCACAGCTCCTTGGCTTCCAGATCCGGCTCCAGCTCACCTGGCACACCCTCAAAGTATGTGACGTATAACCTCTTGGGATCTATGCCGTAGACCTTTGTGAGCAGCTCCCAGGTGAAGCCTACCGCCTCCGACTTGAAGTAGTCGCCGAAACTCCAGTTGCCCAGCATCTCGAAGAAGGTGTGGTGGTAACTGTCCTTGCCCACATCGTCGAGGTCATTGTGCTTTCCACCGGCGCGAATGCACTTTTGCGAGTTGGCGGCGCGCTTGAGCTGTGCGAAGTCGGACGAGGGGTCGACGGTGCCTTGGAAGATGGCCTTGTACTGGTTCATGCCCGCATTGGTGAAGAGGAGGGTGGGGTCGGAGAGGGGCACGACGGATGAGGAAGGCACTGTTTGCTGTCAATTGGCATTCTTGCACATGTTGGACTCATAGCATCAAGAGATGTCGACTCTTGAACACTGAGACGGAAACGCACCAAACGTGTGTCCGCGCTCCTTGAAGTAGTCCAGGAAGGTCTGGCGCACGCGGACGGCGCCCCATTCGTGCTTCTCTTCAATGAGCGACATGTTTGCGGCCGGCGCGTTGCCGTGGGGGAGGGGCAGCGAGAGAAGGCGAGTGCAGGTGAAGAGTCTCGTGCAGCGTCTAGACAGGACGAGCCGAGGCGAATGCGAACGAGGAAGGTGCGAGTGACGGGTCGCGAGCAAGGGCAGGCGTCTAACCGTATGGTGACTCAGAGGGGCAGCTCGCGTTGATAGCAGCATTCACGAAAACATGTGGGCAGGGTGCGGGCGGCTCGAGCTGCAGCAAGCAAACTGCGGGGCTGTCCTGTCGATGGCGGGCCCAGGGAGCTTCGGAGGACCGACATGGCGCGCCTCAGCCCTTCTGGAAGCTTCACGTAAGTGCGCCTAGACGACCGCGCTCCCAGTATAACAACCACCATGTCCCGATCCCAACACCAGCCCTATCGCTAATCCATCACACCACCCCTACCAATCGGCTGTCTGCGGGAGTACTTGTAGCACGATTTCCTGCCAAAGCTGCGATGCATGGCGCAAGTCGCTAGCTCCCCTCGTCCCTTCGCGCAACAACAGATTGCGCCCCATGGCACCAAGAGAGCCGCAGACAGCTCGCTCGAGAATGAACAGCGGCTGAGTAAGCGGTTTGACCTGCTGAATCTAGGTATGCTCTATCTCACCCTTTACACATAGAAATCCATGCTAACAACAGCTTAGTAGACAACAATGGCACACGCCTCTACATCCCCGTCCCAGGCTCAACCGACGCCCCTTTCCCCCGGCATCCCCAAGGCGCGACCTCCTACGGCGACCCTCTAGCCTTCGTCTCACCACGTCGCCAACAACCCCGCAAGCCACGCCACGTCCGCGCCAGCCCCTCCCAAGAAACATGCGGCATGGAAGTAGAAGACACGCCCCACCGCGTCTACATCTCCGACCTAAGCGCCGAACTCTCGGACCTAGAATCCGACGAGGAAACGCCCATCTTCCTCTCCGACATCGAGAAGCACCTCTCCAAAATCCCTCAGCACATCTTACAGGGCCCAGAGCCCAAGCCCACGGATAAGAACCAGTTGGTGCTGTATAATGTGCCGAGCAGTTTGACGGTGCCCGAGGCGCAGGACAATGTGCGCAAGGCGATTGTAGAGGCGCGGCAGAGGATTAGGGATAAGCAGGTTAATCCCGTGACGGAGCCTGTGGATGTGGATCTCGGGAGGGATAGTAGTGTGGTTGGAGGACCGAGGATTATGGATGCGATACCCCAAGCTATGGCGTCACCTGTAGAGGGAGACGGAGATGCCATGGACATTGACTGAGTCAATGATTGTTTGAGTGAATGGTATTATTTGTTGTTGGTCATGAAATTATTATGGATAGTTTGTAACGCTTGTTATACATCAAATGCAATCAACGTGATCCAGTCACGATCTTGTATATCCGCCTTTTGCAGCTGTTTTGTATGTGCATCCTATCTACCGTCTGAACCTATCCAAAACACCCATGATCTTGGCCTTTGCTGGCCGGGGTGGCAGTTCTTGTGATTGTCCTTGCTCGACATCGGAACCGACAACGCCGCTCTGTTGAGGTCCGGCTTGTTGTGGTACTCCTTGTGGTGGGGCACCGTATACCGGCATCTCCATACCCTGAGCTCCTTGGTTCGGGTTCATCTTTGTGGCGCCGGGAGGAGGGGGCGCGAAGTATTGGGGCGGTGCATCAGTGTTCTGGTACAGCGGCGGGGGTTCTGCCCATGTGCCGTCCTGTCTTTGTGTGTATTGCGGGTTGGGTGCGTTAGGTGCGTAGGGGTTTTGCGTTTGGTAGAAGGTGAAGTGGTTCTGGGGGACCTGACCATGACGGCGGCGTTCAGAGTAGGATATGAGGAACTATTGCGACCGTTAATATATGAAGGATTGCGTGGGTTGGAGAAGAGGGGTAACGTACGCGATGGTATGAGAGCAACGGTAGGCCCTTCCTCAGACGTTGCTTCGCGTGGATGCGGCCTCCTACAAACCAACCGAAGAATATGAAAAAGAAAGCTGCGAGGATAATCCATTTGACGATTATGCCTTTCTGTTATCTTGTTAGTTCGAAGTCCTGTGAAGACCACTGGGTGATGAGCCAAACATACGTCTGAGTACCAAAAGCCATTGTCGTCGAAGCCACACTCCCTCGATCCGTCATCAAATTCGACGCAGTATCTCTTTGTTAATGAAATCATAACTGCGGTGTGTGTGTATTCTCAGCAGAGATAGTGGTGCGAGTCGTGGATGTCTACGTTGGATCGCAGAGGGGAAGATCGACTGGTATAAGCCCAGTATGTGCCGCAATCCAGGGAGGATGATATGGCCGATATGAGCGGTTAATGGGACAGCTGCGCCACTGCTACGTCGTTCTGTCCTTCGGTCGGTTAGGCTCCCGAGAGGGAGGTGTGTCGCGTGTGGAGTGGGTTGGCAACGGGTATTGTTTCAGATGTGTGAGGCGTGGGTGTGTTGGGTTTCAAGATGGGATGGATGCGTGGGCGGCTGTTGAGTGGCTAACCTTCGATGGTAAATAACTAAGGAAGTGGCTTGAGGAGAAGGAAATGGAAACTTATGGAAACGACGATGAATTGAATGAGTGACAAAAAGAACAACCAAAAAAAGAAGTGACGAAGATTGTGGCTGGGGCAACTGAAGCCTCGAGGTTGGGGAGGTCGGGGGAGCTCTGGTCTGCAAGGGACGCGTGGAAAGGAGTGGAGCGCGTCCCGTGCCCTGCAGGGCTGAAAGCTTGTTCCTTGCCCGCCTGGCCGGATGTGGCGGACTTCACTCCGCATCCTCATCTGTCAAAATGTGGCTGTGGCATTTATTGCGTTGGAAAATGCACGTGAACCATGATGCAACAGTCGGTGAGGTTCGATTCTTTATATTGAAACATACACTTCCTTGTGTTACGTGTTGAGTAGCGCGTGTTCCCGCTAGACAGCAATCATCCGCCGCTGTTGCCGCCGCCGCAAGATACTTTCTTTTTTCACACATCACATTGTACAGTACTGTTGGGATACAGATTGAGTTACGCGGAGAACCTCGCAGCACTGACGCGCGCACAATGGACATGTCATAATGATAGGTTGGATCAAATTCAGTGCCGTTGGGATGCCGGCTTCGCTAACCTAAAGCAAAGAAGAAACAAAACACAGAGTAAACGTTGTGGTATAGTGCCACCAAACGCCTGATTAACATGCCCAATGAAGACCTCACTATCGCACTCTATACTTCCGCCATCCCACTGTAGACTCCAGAGGTCCCCGCATGTTTCGCAATGCTACGTCACCGAGAGGGATATTCCTGCGTCGGACGCTGAACATAGAAAACGCCCAAAGGCTTCAACTCCGGTCCCATGCTTGAAGGTCAAATGAAACCGAGTATACAGTAGAAAGGATAACGAGGGAAAGGAAAGTCTAATGTAACAAGTTGCGAAGAGATGGACTGGCGCTAGCCCCCGTGTTGGCCCGCTCAGTGGGCGCTGACGTGACTGTTGGTGCCTCCCGCATCACTGTATCCATGGGTGTTGCCGGTCTGCCAGGTGCAGGGCTTCCGTGGTGGAGCACAGGGTACTGTGCTACTGGAGGAGGAGCCGTGAATGGGCTTTCACGCGACGCAGGATGTGCGTGAGGATGGGTTGGAGAATAGGGCATTGTCCGTGGTGATTGCATAGCCCCGTTGACCATCATCGCGCCGTTGTTGTGGTGTAACTGGGGAGGTCCACTAATGGGTGGTCCAGAGTACGGTGGCCGAAGCCCTGCCGCTGCTATCGCCGAGTGCATCGGTGCACCTGAAAAGGCTGCATACCCATTCGGCTGAGGCGGGTATGGCGCGTGGAATGCAGGAATATGACCAACAGGTGGAGCTTGTAGTGGTGGTGGCCCGTAACCGTTTCCGTTGGGCATGTGGTGTGGGGGATGCCCAGGCCCTGGAGGAACACCGCTATGCCATGAGGGCAACGGCGGAGGCTGACCTGGTATCGGTCCGCCTTGTAGCGCCCAACCTCCTGCCAAAGCTGGTGGTGGTGGTGGATATGGTGGAATTTGAGTCGCGGGCAGTGGATACGTTTGTGGTGGCTCTTTGAAGATCGAAACTGATCTCGCTCGCTCTTCCTCCTCATCATCTTTGCCATTTTGTTTCTTCCAATGACACTTCTGGCACATGTATGACGCTGAAGGAGCCGCGTCCACATCAGTGTTGAGCCGCAAGGTTTTGTGCGCTGGTGAAGCAACAGCTGGCGCATCAGTCATTGGCTGATCGCCTTGGCCATTGCCGTTGACGATTTGGCCTTCCTCGACGACGGGCTTCTTCTCGATGTGGCCGTTCATATCTGCAGTACCGTCGCGGTCGATTGGTCCGTCTACTATACGAGGCGCTTGCGTTGCTGCCGTTTCCTCGTCAAGTTTCCACCATCGTGGGCTAGATTCGATCTTGCAGCGCACGCATTTACGCTCAGGCTTGGGCGCCGCTGGCTCGCTTGACTCTTCCTTGACTGATATACCAGCGTTGGACTGTCGACCTCGGGCTGACGTGGGTGTGGGCGCTGCAACTGCAGATGCTCGGCGGTTGGCCGGCGCAGGCACGATTTGGGGTACGATGCGTGTCGATTGGTCCACCAAATTGGCTTTGCGCGCGGTACCGGTCAGGGTGAGGTCAGCCTGCTTGAACTCCCGCGCGAACAGCTGGAGCGCAATCAGGTCTGTTCCATCTACGGGTTCATTCATTGGGTGGACAACAGTCTTGGGAGCGTGGTCTTTACACCAGATCGCGGCGATCAGAGTACCCGTCTCTCCGTTCATAGTCACCGTAGGTACGGCATCTCTGCGAGAGACCTTGACTGGGGTCATGTCGAATCCGAATGTATATCCGTTGCTGTGCGCGCAGCCAACATGAAAAGTCGCGTGGCACTGCAGGCATGATGTGCATGCGCCGTCGGTTGTCTTGCAAAGCTTACAGACTGCGTCGTACCGAAGTGTTGGTGCCCCTATTCCCTCCACCATGTCGAGACGAGTCGCGCTGCTGAACTTGATTTCAGGATGCCATATTGCACAATACACGTGCACCCAGTTGTTGTCAGCGGTGCGCTTGAGCGGTTCACGGGGTACAAGCGGTCGACCCTTCTCTTGTTGCCGAAGGCGATACTCGTCCTTGGCTCTGTCAATAAGCTCCTTCTCTAGGCGCTCCCTTTCGCGATCACGATCCGTCCTCTTCTTGTGCGTAATCTTCGGTTGTTCATAGAACTCTTGCTCGCTCTCCTGCTGTGGGCAGAGAACGCACTCGTACGTCTTTTAATGGTCAGCATGATATCAGAAATGACGAACCTGCAACTTACATATGACACGCTCTCTTTCTTGTCGTTCTTGCATGGATCGCAATACCACTTGTTTGCCTGTCGCGTATCTTCGACGCCGTAACAAGGTTTGTGAACAGTCAACCGACAGGCTGCGCATTCTAGACGCGTACCTTCCGACGACCGACATACAGCGCATGGCAAAGGCTTCAGTTTTGGAGGCGCAGGAACTGGTGGTGGAGTTGGGGCTTTGGGCGCCGGGGCAGCCTTCTCTTTTTCTTTCTTCTTCGAGACAGGCTCGTTGACAGGAGTTGTTGTTCCACTGTCTCCGTTGGTAATGGCGGCAGTTTTCTGCTTCTTCTTCGGTGGCTCTGCAATCGGTTGGGCGATAGCAGCCGGCATCTCGACGTACTCCGGAGTGGGGTTCTTGGAGCTGGGGTCTGACTGCGCGGCGTAGACCTCACGGAGGAGCTCCTCGTCAATGCGACGCTTCCACGCCTTACCTCCACCCTGCGCGACCTTCTTTGCGATCTCGTCTACATTTTCCCATGTCACTGCATACTTGCGCCATAAATTCGCGCAGCGCAGGCAAAGGGCGATGAGGAATCCGGTTTTGTCCTTGGAACGACCATCCGGGGGTATCATTTGACCAGGTGTCACGCCAGGCGCGCGTCTCCATTGGCGAGAGTGGCGAACTGTGCAGAACTTGCACTGGAAGAGCCGCTTGCGCTGAATGGCCTTTGCGCTGTCGAAAGCCGAGTCGTCTGCGGCATCCGCTACGTCGTCAACAAGCCGGGATTGTGTGTCAGGCTCAACCTTCTTGCTGCGGCCCTTGCGGCTGCTGTAAGAGCCCCAGATTTCTCTTCCTTTGGGTGTCTTCTTCCACATGTAGTAATAGCGCACGGCATCCCCGTAGAACATGGTCTTGCTGGTGTGCTGGCGGACGAGCCTGATCTCAGAACCATATTTTGCCACACCTTCGTTCCACTTCTTCTCTTCTTCCTTGGTCAGCTCTGGTTCTTTCAAGTCTTTCCGCTTGTCGATCTTCTTGACATGCTTCAAGGCTACATCCGCGTCGTACTGATATTTGGTGAAGAGCGTCAAGCACCGATCCAAGAAGTTCGTGTTGTACGGTTCCACTCCAACATGCGACTTGGCCAAGGCCCTTGCCCGGTCCATGTAGGCTTTTACTTGATCTTCCGTGACGTTGGGAGCGTTGTCTTCTCCTCGAGTGGAGTGTACTCCTAGTGGAGGCATCTTGAACATCAGTTCCGCGGTACACTTGGAGTCCTTGTTCGGCAGATCTTCACCACGACGAACATAACCAGGCGGCTCGTCCATTACCCACTTAGGGCGCTTAGCCTTCTCCGCCTTGTCTGCTTCAATCGCCGCTACCGTCTCTTTCGATAGCTTGCCTTCCTTCTTGTTACCCGCAGCCTTGACGTAGCGCTTCTTAATCTCCGCAGGTTTGACCAGTTCCACAGGGTGTCCATGCCAGACGTTGACGTTTGCTTGGTGTCGAGGTCCCAGCCGAGAACTTGCGCGAGGGTAAATGGCCCGATCGTCGTACTGCAGTGCGTCCTCTACCCGGCAGTGTATGCCAAGATATCGCATAGGCCACATCTTAGCCAAAGCAATCTCGGCCTGTGTTGCAGGATGTGTGTCGACTTGGGAATCGGGGTCCGGTGTGTCTGCATTGGTATCGCCGCTTGCTTCCTCCTCTTCCTCATCTATGACTTCTTCCTCTTCGGCATCTTCGTGAGTGGTACCCAGGCGGGCCTCCAACTTCTTCTCTTGCGCTCTGCTACATGGGCCACAAGCCCAAGCAAATCCACGAGATGGTTTTTTGAGTAGTGGTGGGCGCACGCAGTTCATGTGATAGGTGTTGTGACAGACTGCGCACTCAACGGAGTCATTCCTAATCAGGTTAGCTCCGTCACGTGGATGGGTAAATGGTGACTTACGCTGCGCAATATCCAACACAACGCTTGCAGCTCTTGACAGCGCTTGTGAGTTCCTTTACCCGACTCGTCTCGAGACAGATGTACTTCCACCGCTCGTCCAGGGCTTTCTTGACCTTGTCGGGTACGTTGATAACCGATGAGACGGGAATGACATCGTACCAGCGATGAATGAAGCGGTCAAAAACCTGGTTGAACCAGAAGCTGTCTTTAGTTTTGCGATACTCGTCGAGGTCGCCGATTTCGCTCCGATGCAAGATTTGGCATTTTCCCCGTAAAGACGCCAGAGGGCATAGGTCAGAGTGCATGGTCGCGTAGACCAGACGAGTGTCATTGTTGTAGCGCTGGACATCTCGTGGGCGATAGAACCAATTGACTCGCATGGACTCTATCCGCTTCTTGGGGTCGTTGTCGACGTGGATAAATTCCATAACCCGGCAGAGGTAGTAAGGCTCGCCGGGCGGCTCGCACACGAGGTACACCTGATCTGCACATCCAATTAGAAAACGGAAATCAAGCCGCAAGACGTGGCTGGCGTAACGGAGCGACCGTCAGCTGCAGCCAAAGCAAATCAAAACTTACCGTTGACTGAAAGAATCTGGCCATCGTCGGCTTCCAAGTGACCGTCCTTGAGGAAAGCACCCGTGTTTTCGAACGTCATCATGTTGGTCTCTCGCGCGCTGTTGGCGGCTACCATGGCGCTGGCATGGCTTCCGCGCTTCGCCCCTGCTTGGCTTGGCGCAGCGGCACTCGCGTGACTACCATTTGCGCCATTCGCAGCAGCATTTTTGCGTCGTTTGGTTGCGGGCTGCGGTTGTGGTGTGCTTGATTGAGTCGATGCAGCTGTTGCTGATGTGCCGGAAATATGAGGATTCGGCGCGGTCTCTTTAGTGTTGGTTCCGGAATTACCCCACGATGCATTGCCTTGTGCAGAGGCGGAACCTTTCTTCCCACCCACACTGGCAGAGTGGCCGTTCTCGGGAGCCACAGAATTACGCGACGGCGGATCAGATGCGTTGCCATTTGTGGCTGCAGCTCCCATTTCGAAGTCCATTTCGGTGTCCTCAGCATAATTAGGTCGCGACCTGCCAGGACGGCCGCGCGATCGCGTACCGTATGACGATAGCGCCTCACCGTTTTGATCTGGCTCCTTTGACGATGCTTTGGACTGATTTGAAGCGACGTTGGCCGCCTCGGGCGATGGTTGCACGTCGTCCATGGCAGAAGACGCGTCGTTGGGGTTTTGTGCAGGCTCCCGTACTTCCAAAGAAGCAGCAGGTGTCGAATTCCTGGTAGAAGCCTTGCTAGTTGATTTCGAAGGCGCTACTTCTGATGCAGCGCTGGGTTGATGCAGTTGATTGCTTTGCGCGTCATCTTCGTTGCGCGGTGATGGTGCATTGGACTGGTCCCCAGCCGTCGAAGACGGAGCCTCGCCTTCGCCGTTCTTCGTGTCCGCCATGCCGGTTACTGCAGAAGAAGGCAGAATCAATAAAACGGCCGGAGAAAAGGACGGCGAAGAACCCTTTCAAGGCAGGCGCGGGCTGTCGCCAGGGTTGTCGCTAGAAAGAAGCCCGTCAAGTGCGGATATCAACGCAGCATGAGAAGGCCCATCAGCGCATACACGCGAACTTGTGAAGTAGCAAGTCAAAGGTGAGTATTTTCGGGGTTCAAGACGGCTGGCTTGATGGGGCCGATGGCGAAACCGGGAGAAGTTTCGTGGTTAGACGAAAGAAAGCGTGGTGTGGGGAAGAATTAGTGAAGAAGGGAGCAGTGGTTGAAGGAATTCGAAGATGGCGGACTCGCTGTAGTATGGGTCTAACGGTGCCAAGCTAGGCCCAAGGCTACGTCCGTGGGACCTAGGTTCTTTCTTACGCATATCTCATCTTTCTCATCGGTGCTGCTAACCACAGCACCCTGACAGCAGCGCCCGCGCCCGCCCACGCCGTACAGGTGCGTCGTTCGGCAAACGATGGGGGCGCTGATGGGTCCTTTGTCACGATGTGTTCTTTTGATGGGTTTTGCACGTTCATGTTCACACGGCTTCATCCTTCAACGATCTCCACCACCCCTGTCTGACATACACCGGCAACGCACCCATCATGCGGCGACTATCTCTGTAATGTGCAGTTGCTCCGCCTGTCTCAGTCATGTCCACATGTATAGGCCAGCGGACAGGCTGCGTCGTTCGAGTCACTACTCGGTTTCATCAAATTGAGGCATTATATTCATCACATCTCATCCATTGCGTGCGCCTCGACATTTCGCCAGGCCTACTGACCTGGTATCGAGTGCTGTGATGATGGCGTGGGCGCGGCGACGAAGGTTGGAAGGAGGCGATGTATGGTACAGTCCATCGTCTAACTCGATTTAGCGCCGACAAGGGTCGACTGGTCTTAACGAGACCTCGTCGTTTGGCAGAGATCCGTGGATGGAAAGGCTTGATGCCGAATCTTCCACAGCACACATTGCGTCACCCAAGAAGCTGGCAGAGTCAGGACGTGCGCCTCATTGCCCGCGCATGTGTCCGGAAATGCAGAGCGCCTGGATCGTTTATTGTTATTCCTTTCTGCGGCCCTGCCACACTAGGCCCAGTCGCGTCTGACTCTCTTACACATCCACCTGTTCCGGCCAAATCAGCCTGGTTCAGACGGCCCGATCGTCTCCATCGTCGACTTCCATCTGGTGGTGAAGCTCCAACGCCGCCCATGGTCGTGTCGCACATGTGCCTGCAACCCGTGCGTTTCGCGGGATTACCCAGCGGCATTGCTAGGTCCGCAGACAAGGGACGCTAGCAGACGCATTCAGTCATATCGTGTCGGCTGCCTTGTTGCCCCCCTTCGAAACACCCAGACACCCAGCCGCACCCTAGCAACCCTCGTCGGCCTCAGATTGCCCGCTCCTCATTCGCTGTTGCCGGCATTCGCTAACGTGATCGTTGGCGCACATCAGCTCGCGCACTTGCAGCAACAATGTGGCCCACGCACCGTCTCATGGGCTTTGATGGGATTTTCGCAGAAGACGACACCGATGCCAAAACACGGCTTGTCAAAGCAGCCGTCTCGTTGACAGCGACTTGCGTGTGCGACCCGGCGCACTCCCCAGGCTTGCAACCGACCCTAACCAAAGTGGCCTATCCGGTTCTGCGCGGAACGCGCCAGTCCCTCCTTCGCTGGGCCTCACTCGAACTTGGGAGCCGTTTCGAACGTGTTGGTGACTAAAATCCGCCAAGTGACCGAGAACTCAGCTTGCGATATCTCACAACACTCTTGCGCCAAGACAGACGTGGAGTGATTGTCGAAATGCGCCTTGCAGATCAACCTGTCTATGGGCAGCAGAGGCGGGGCCGGGTTTCGACACTGCTCTGGTCCTACAGGCAGGTCGCAGCTCAAAGACCCCATTGACTTGATCTCTGAAGTTGCGACACAACTATCTTGTGCCCACGCCTACCCGTGTTGACGAATAGGCGATAACAGCGAAGAGTCTTCTTCGTCATCGCTCGCGCTCGTATATCGATGCAGAGTCCTATAGTCACAAGACTTTGAGTGATCTCAGAGCTCCACAGCGTTATCTTGTATTTGCGTTATCGGGGCATTTCACGGTCGCTTTCACCACCAGCACTCAGTGGTGCACATCATTTTCAGTCAAGGACTTGCCTACTCACAACACATCGCTTCGAACCCCCCTCCACCGCGTCTGGTTTACAGAGACGTTTCATGCCTCAGCAAAGTACTTGATGAAAGTTTGAACCCAGCATGGTTCAGCATGGCGGTTGGGGATGTGTTAGCATTGTCTCATCTTGAAGGGGCGGTCTTTAGATTCTTTTGCCATAAACTGGATTCAAAAGCCACGCGATCCGGTCCCGTTATGGAAACTACGAGAACTACGTCGTCTGGTACACGGCGATAGGCAGACTTGGGCAAGTCGGTACACGCAGTGCGAGTTGCGCGGTCGTGTACACTGCAGGAGGGCACTGGCCGCAATCAACCGGTGGCTGAAAGATGTTCAAGGCACATTCAACTTTCAAAACGCAATTCGTGAAATGCGCTGAATCACCAGGACGTCACTTTGCGACAGTAGAGCGCAGCAAGGTGGTTATCGGCGACGCCTACCTAGACTCGCCCTCTAGTTTGGTGCATGCGGGAACGACAGGCGCTTGCAGATCGGTCGAAGAGCCATAACCGTGCCGGAACCTATCTGTTTTCTGTCCATCAACGGCGCGCAAAGCCCCTTTTCATGCCCATTGATCGAGCAAGGTTTTCAGCGACAACAATCAAACTTTCGGTCCGAGGGCAGATATAACCACTTACACAGCCGTGTCCGCGCCATGATGCTTGCCAATACTACTTCAACCTTGGGGAGCTGGGAATGTGCTGGCACCGTTCGGGATCGCAACAAACAACGCTCGGCTCCAACACCGATAAACTGACTCTTTTTGTGAAAGGCGCAGAGATTGCCATTTCCTGTCTCGGCTGGATATGTTCACGATGTATTACCCTGATTTCTTCAAGGTGTGCGGGCACTTGTCATGGTCGGGGTGGGGCCTTGATGACATCTGCCTGCCGAGGTCAAGCCGCTGACCTGCATGGAAAACGCACGAGCCAGCGCCAACATTAGCTGCGCTAGCATCCCCAGTGCGGATCCCCCTCCTCAACCACTGCAACTCGCAACGGTACCTCACTCATTTCAGAATACCCATGCGACAATAGGTCATGTACATTCCTTAGAACGGCAGTATGATTGAATTGTTCTGCACGTTGTCTGCATCTTGCCGCCAAACAGATCGTATCACCATAGGCTGCTGTCTTCCGCGCACGAGAAGTTCAACATCCAACCATGATATAGCCATTTTCCGTTTGTCTTTTCCCTCATCAACTTCCCACCTCATTTCCCACCAAACGATCAACTCCTAGCAAGTTCCAAATTGTAGATGAAGAAGTTTACAAGGCGAAGATGGCCAAAAGACCGGCGAGACCGGCACCAGCGATGCGAGCTGAAGCCTTGTCGGCGGCACCAGTGGAGGCGGCACCAGCTCCGGAGCCAGATTCGGTTCCAGAGGCAGAGGCAGAGTCTCCTGGGTAATCGTTAGTACAAGAATGAGCAGAATCTACTGCCGATGACAATCATACCTGAGGTAGCCGTAGGGTTGGCAGAGCCGGTAGCAGAGGCAGAGGCACCTGCAGCAGCAGAACCAGAAGCAGAGCCGGAAGCAACAGCGCCACCAGCAGCGCCAGGGGCGAAAGCGGTTTGGCTGCTGGGGAAAAGGCTGTTGATGCAGCTGTCGACGCACTTGGCGTAGGCAATGGAGTCGGAGGTAGAGCCATCGCCCTGGTCGCACTTGGCGGCACATTCGTTGGTTGCGATAGCCTGGGAGGCGTTGGGGCGAGCGTTGCCCAAGCATGCAGCCTGGCAGTTCACATCGCCGGCGTCGCAGTCCATGGCACAGCTGATAGCGGGAGAGAGACCGCTAGGAATGGCGGCAGCCGCTGGGGCGCTGGTAACAGACGCATCCTGGGGAAGGGCGAAGGCGCCAATGGCGAAGAGGAGAACAGCGGAGTACTTCATCTTGAATTTGGTTTGGGTTTGGGTATTACTCGAAGGTTGTAAATAGCGGTTCGATTGTGAGGATTAATACAGGTATGCTGAAGATGCGATAAGCGAGCGTGGGAAGTACGAGTACTTGAAGGCTGAATCAGAATAAAGAACGAACGTTGGCGCACACACTGAGAATCCGGGGCAGGCCATCTCGCTTTTTATTGCACTGTTACACTACTAGTCAGTACATAGGGGTTTGGCGAGTAGTGGCTCCGTTGTGCTTATATTGGGTTTCGACTATGCCTCGTGTGGTAAGCCTTGTCGGGCCGGCGGCGTCATATCGAGGCACGTCGGCTGGAACCTTACCAGTGGTAGCCTGGACTCCAGGGCTGCAGGGGTCCACCACACCTGCCCCATCCATCTGCGCCAAAACGCGCTAGAAAACGACGCGTCGCGACATTTACCTCACCACGCCACTAATAAAGTGACGCCGCCTCTCATACACCAGCGCAATGGACGACAGTGATGAGTATGGCGATGAATTCGACGACACGGAGTTCCTCGATGCCGCAACGCAGGCCGAGCAAGAGAACACGCCTGCCTTCCCGCCCTCACCAAGGCCAGCCAAGAGGCGAAAGATCAGCAACGTAAATGAGCAAGCGGAGTCTGTTCCGCGCAAGGCACAACGAGGACGTCGCCGAGGCCCATTCGTATCGTCTGATGAGGATGAAGACGCATTTGATGAATCCGATCAGACATTGTCTGAGAAGGGCAGCAAGAGTGTCTCACCTGCAAAGAGCGTGCCTGCAAGTCGCAAAAAGAGAGCGCAGTCGAAGCAAAGCTATGATGAAGATGCATCGCCCGTTAAAGAGACTGCTGCGGATAAACGGAAAGAACGCATTCACGTATCCACCATCAACCTCGAGA